TGTTTTACTCGGGAAGTTGTGAGGATTGTTTATTATATTCGTACAATGAATTTCAGTAATTATGTTGTGTTACGTGTAAGCGACAATATATTTTATAACAGCTCCTATCGTCCTAGCATTCATTGATAGTAGGCCTATATTGTGACACATTGAGATACCTTGAACTTGAAACTATGTTTACATCTTTTTCGAATTAAAACGAAAATACAAAAGAAAGATGTACAATAATTGTATTCACATTTACAACAGTTTGTTTATTAGACATAAAATAAAGTATGTTTTATCACAAAATCAGTTTATTTTCCTTGTTCTTTTGTTTTGGAGGGAGGGGGGTGTATTCAGAGCAAATTCTAAGAAGCAAGATGGTGAACTTTTCATTAAAATGGGACAAATAAGTTGTTATCAAGTTTTGATAGTGATTAAAATGTACAAGATAATAGACATGACGAAATTAAAATAACATGTCCCTCTTGCTTCAATATTGTTATTATACATATCTTCCAGAGGGATCTAAGTCGAGTTCTATAATGAACTTTTCTCAAATTCAGTCTAATTTTGATGAAATTGTTACTATCTTCATTTTGTGGATTTTGCTCTGTTTATTTATTTAATCCAATCTTAAACTACTTGGCTTTTCCTTGTCACGTTGTGATGCATGTGTTTGAATGATTGTACATGTCCGATGTAGTATGATCTTGACGATGTTCTTATGAACGGACGACTGATGTTGGTGTGAATATGTTTTTGAGTTGGTGTTGGTAATGTCAGAAGGATGTTGGCATGAACTGGAAAGGGGAGGTACAACGTCGGCACATGGTGGGATACGGGTTGGCATAACGTTGCTTCTACGTCGGCAAATGGTGGAGAAGAGGTTGGCATAACGTTGGTCTAGCATTGGCACATGGTGGAGGAGGGGTCGGCACTTGGTGGGAAAAGGGTTGGCATTATGTTAGGACAACGTCGGGGAGACGTCGGCACATAGTGTAAAAGGGGTTGGCATTACGTTGGTCCTACGTCAGGGAGACGTCGGCACATGGTGGAAAAGGGGTTGGCATTACGTTTGTCCTATGTCGGCATATGGTGGGATAGGGGTTGACATGACATTGGTCATACGTCGGGGGGACGTTGGCCCGATGTTGGCTTAATGTCATTTCGTCGCTGTCGAGCCAACGTTGGCCCGCCGGCAAGAAAGCCGTTGGCCCAACATCACATTGGCGACGATGGCGCAACGTAACAGCCCACGACGTCGGCACATGGTGGGATAGGGGTTGGCATAACGTTTGTCCAATGTCGGAACTACGTCGGCACATGGTGGGATAGGGGTTGGAATAACGTTGGCCCTACGTCGTGGAGACGTCGGCACATGGTTGAAAAGGGTTGGTATAACGTTGGGCCAATGTCGAGGAGACGTCGGCACATGGTGGGATAAGGGTTGGCATAACGTTTATCCAATGTCGGAACAACGTCGGCACATGGTGGGATAGGGGTTGGCATAACGTTGGTCGTACGTCGGCACATGGTTAAAAAAGGGTTGGGACGACGTTGGTCCAATGTCGGAAAGACGTCGCCATACGGTGGAAAAGAGGTTGGCATAACGTTGGTTCAATGTCGGGAGGACATCGGCACATATGGTCGGATAGGGGTCGGCATAACGTTGGCCCGATGTTGGCTTAATGTCATTTTGTCACTGTCGGGCTAACGTTGGCCCGCCGGCAAGAAAGCCGTGGGCCCAACATCGTGTTGGCGACGTTGGACCAACGTAACAGCTTACGTTGGCCCCACGTTGGCGTAACGTCGTATTGTTATCTGGGCTATGCAACCAAAAAGCAGATAATGACCACAGATGTGCAACAGAGACTACCAGTACCTGATCATCATATGTTATGGTGTAGATCTCAGGAACAGGACACCTAAGTTGAACTCTGGCAAGGTATGTTTGTATAAAGTTCGAAAATATTCAGGCTGTATAATCTAAGGCTAAGCCCATGCCAACATCGCACTCATCTTGGACTAATCACCAATTACCATCTTAATTATAATGTTGCATTATATCTTGTAATTCTCATTTATTCTCTAGCTTTATTTAGGTGACAAACTACAATGTTGCTTAATAAACAAATCACTTTATTCTCTCAGCATGATATTACAATACGTACTCAAAGGTTTTTTTTTTCTTCTTCAATATTACATATCTATCAAAATTTTTCTCACAAAATCAGACAACTAAACAGTAGATACTCCTATGTTTATAAACAACTTAAAATTATTCAATAGACTTCTACCTCTACATGTACTGCCTGTTGTATGTAGCAAATGTTTCACAAATAATAATAATATTATAAGAAAAACAATTTTAAAGTTCCTTGTTCAATAATTGGAAATGAATATAAACCTTTACTCTACTCTTCAAAAAAGGCCCTATCAGATAGACATAAGTCTATCATTTTGTAATAAAACTAAAATGTAAGACCTAAAAGTGGGAAAGGGTACTATTAAACAGAAAAATCTAATGTAGTGCAGCTAGTTTTAATCTCATTTGCTTTCTCTCTTTTTGTTTGTATTATGCAGGTTGTCCCATGCAGAAGGTTTGATACCCAGGCTTCTTTCTATCCACTCTCATCTTGAGAACTCTTGAGATCTCTACATCAGCACGCTACATCACAATGGAAAATACAAGAAAACCAGCAGTGTGACTGAGATGATCAGCACATTTTAGTGCATACATGCCAACTGTTCAGATTAAAGAGGAACATTCCTCTTTTTGGGAGAAGATAATTATCATTTTAATGCAGGTGTTCCTCTTCCTGTACAAATTTGTCTGTAGTATTGAATAGGAGAGTTAGGATTGTTCCTCTTTTTTTTGAAAATAGCATAATTTGTACACATTTCTGATTTTCAAATGTTGGCATGTATGTTAGTGGCATACCTTATCTACAAGGCACTCTGCATGTAGACTGGGAATTGTGCACAAGGTAGTCAATGGTCTCTCTGCCTTTCCCTTGAAAGCCCTATTTTCTTTCACATATCACAAACATGGGAGAACCAAGCCAGAAGCGACATAGATCCGTGATTTGCCCAACGCTCCGTCCCAAAGTTTAATAATGGAACTGGCTTCCAGCAAATGTATGCCGACAGTCCTGCCAGGTCGAACTGCAAGGGACTACTCCTGAGGCATCTAATGCCCTTATCCCATTAAAAAAATATCATCTGTCTTCCTCGCACCCCTTCACTAGTTCATCTTCGTGATAAGCTGTATAGCCCTTTGAATAAAAGTATTTGTTGTTTTAATGTGTGTACATGTAAGATACAGGTAGCTTTTTGATATTTAATCTGAATTCAAATTCTGACCAATATATTAGGGATGCTGAACTGGATATTAAATTCAAGGTGGGGGAAATAAAATGATGTAGGAATAGTACAATAGTAGTACTCTAATAGTATTAGTAATAATTAGAGGATAATAATAATGATATTAATAATGATGACAATGAACAAAAATGTCCAATGTAAAAGAAAAAGTACTCGTACCAACCGCCCAAGGGAAACACAAAAAGTGGTCTATGTAGACAGGCTCGTTTAGTACATGTTTCAATGAGAAACCATTTTCAAGGGAAACAAAACAAATGTGGTCTTTGTAGACAGGTGGTCACTAAAGCAGGTTTGACAATATATACCCATGCTTTACATGTTGATAATTGAATAAATCATATGGATTTTATTTTAATATATCTAATTTTCTAAATCTATAGTAGAATTATACATCTGAACAATTTTAAGTTCAAGAGACGACAGCCACCCCTCCCCCGTTCATTTGTTACCTTTCTTTAGTTCAGGTTGTATTTTAAAAGATCATTATAGAAAAATTTATGTTCATAAATGTTAATAAAATTAGTTAATACTGCTTAATTCTTTTCTTTTCATTTTCTTATTTTTTGGAAGTTATGTGATGATGCTGGTGATTATAATCATCTTTCCTAATGAGAGAAAAAGCGGAAATGTAACGAGAGAGTGGGCAAGACTTAAGTATAAATGCAATATAAAAATTGGTTTACAATAGATATGGGGGTGGGGGGGGGGGGGGGGGTTAAATAAAGAATAAGTCAATGCCAACATGACAGCATAGGTAATGGTGGTGGGGTTGGAGGAGGGAGGGTAATAGAGCCTAGTGAAATGTCAATATTGGAAGAGGTCCTGTATTGAAAATGTAACTGTAGGGGGGGGGGGGGGTGGGGTGGCAAATTATTAAACAAACCAGTGGCGACGAATGCAAGAATGAAAAGAACGAGGCAAAATTGAAATTTCATTGGGGATATGGGGCACAATATAAAAGATCATTGATGGCGAGGCGAGAATGATTCATTATTTGGACACTAGAAATATGAAAATATCATTTAAGTAAATAAACGAACAAAATAAAACACACAAAAAAGAGGTAAAAAATGAATTGAGGTACCACGGTGAAATGGGGTCATCATTTTTGCTTTTTAACTGAACTTAATTTTTGTCAATGTACTTTCCATTCTGGTGACAGTGAAGTTTGTGGCCTTAAGTCACAACCATTTGAAAGTTATTACTCCCCCCCCCCCCCCCCCCCCCCCACCTCCCCGACTCTGACCTTTGTTCTACATTTATCGGCCAAATTAAGGATTCTGTCGATATAGTAACGCATGCGCATTGTCTTTTTTTATTGCGATAATATGCTAATAAGTGGAAAAGAGCTCATGAATATTCCAAATTTTAATTTAAATATTTTGCGCGCTGCGCGCAGTCCAAAATCCCCATTTCGCTGGTGCACTAAAAAGTTTGTCGTCTCCATAGGCTAATACACGATAAGTGGAAGCAGTGTGCACTTTTGACCCTCCAAAATTTCCCCATGGCTAGACGGATGCAGAAGCGGAGTTGAACCCCCCTGACCGCTGACCGGTGGAGCGCCACCTTGTGATTTGCGGAATTCAAGGGATAATAAAATTAATAATGAGCTAGCTAGATCAAATGACTGATTGTACACGTAGTAAAATCATCATGATAAAGAAAAATCTGTTTATTCGATAATGGACTTCTGTTTAGGCCTACGATATTATTCCCACTATATTGTAAAAGAGGATATCTTGATAACATGTCGATTCGATTGAGAGATTAATACGAAGGTAAATACCAGCTCAAGATTATTTTTTTGGACTGCCCCGAAGTGGTGGAGGCGCGGCGGATCTCGGGTTGCTGGCGGAAACCTACCGGGAAGCTGTGGCTTGCGGACGTGAAGTAGTTCGCTTCCCAATTCTGTCCTCGGTAGATCGTCTCTGTGACAAAATTGGAAAAGGTCGGTTCCATTTCGAGTAAATATTTTATATTCACACAGTTTAAAAAGACATATTTCATGTATTTATTCCTGAAATTTAAGCTCTAGACAGAGTCTACAGTACAGTACAACTAGAGAAATAGAAATTCTCAAATAGAAGCTAGATTCTAGTAGAACAAGTTAACTTTTTTTAATAGATTAGAAGTTGGGTCTAGATTAATTAGCTTAGCTTACGAGTGTGGCGTGTTGTATTGTGAATGCAGATTGGAATGCTTGTTCAAGCAAGGTTGCACTGACAATAAAATACATGATAAATTGTATTCCCTTTTCTTTATTTTATTGAGGTATGCTACACTTGCAAGTGTAGTCACTAGACTAGTCGGGCAAATAAATAACTCGGAATAAAGTCATGAGATGATGAGGGAGAAATCCGAATATTGCACAGAGATAAAATGATCATGTACTAAATCTAGTAAATGAGATGGACATGAATTAATGTAATAAGAATAAAAACAGCTTACAACAAAGTAGAAATGACGGATGATGAATGAGGAAAGGGGCTCACGTGATGATGATGCGGAGACTTGAAGGCGGAAAAGCGACTTCATTGACATTGACGTGGCTGAAGAGCTGTGAAGAATGCGACGTCGACGCTGACGCAGTGACGCTCATGATGATGATGGTGCTCTTGGACGAAAAGAGAAGAGAAGAAGTGTGGTGCTCGATGTCTGAGGCCAAAGTCAAATAATAAATAATAAATAATAAAAACATTACTTATATTGTATAAAGCGCTTACCACCAAAGTCTCTAAGCACTATAACAAACAAAATAGACTGAAAAACAAAACAAAAAAACTATGTCATTATAAATACAAACTTTCTTTAACTACACATACATGTAAGCAACATTGAATTATTTATGCAAAACAATTTTTCAGAAACAACATTTCAAGGTAAGAAATTAGGTCGAACTTGTACTGATGCAAAGCACTGCAATTACTATAATCACGCAGTATGGCGTAAGTTACAGGAGAAATGCTACAAAGCCTTAGCTAGGACTAGTTAGTATAGCCTTGCATGGCCTGTCTAGATTCTCAAAATTAGATAAACTATTAAATTTAAGGCTAGGCCTAGGTGATAATAGCCTAGCCCTACCTAGTAAAGGGTTTGGTGATAATGTAAAACATGATATTGATATCACCAAGCCTTAAAGGGAAAGTCCACCCCCAAAATAAGTTTGTTTCGATAGAGGCAGAATAATAAGAAAATCAGGTGAGTGAAAGTTTGAGCAAATTCTGAATGAAAATAAGAAAGTTATGAATTATTGAAGTTGTGATCAATCAAATACAAATTGGCAACTCTGTGACTTATTATACGAGCTCTCCTTCATTTGCTTTGTGCATAATATTCCATAAAATCATGTTTTCTTCGTTATTGATGACGGAATATATATTTGTTCCTTGCAGGGGGAGTATAGAAACATATTTGCAATTATTATATTTAGGGTGCATGTATGGTTGAAATTTTTCTTGAGGGAAAATGAAAATTTTAGATTTTTTTAGTACTGAGCAAATGGAAGTTGAGCTCGCATGATACGTCATAGAGTTGCCAATTTGTGTTTGATTGATCACAACTTAAAAAATCCTAACTTCCTTATTTTTAATCGGAATTTGCTCAAACTTTCACTGACTTGTTTCTCTCATTTTTCTACTCCTATTAAAACTAACTTAATTTCAGGGTGGACTTCCCCTTTAACTGGCACCCAGCCATAGACCTGTGCGGAGAGGCAGGTAAACAAAACCTAAAATTCATCCCTTCCTGCACCAAACAAACATTGCAAAATGGCTTCAGACATTCAGAGTTTGCTAGTGAACTCCACTTTCTTCTCATTGCCGGTACCCTGAAATACGTTTTAAAAGAGTTTAAAAAAAAAGTATATGAGATTATGATACTGGAGACGTGGAGTGATGGCGATTTGCTTACCTCCCAAGTGCTCCTGATGACAATTTGGTGCAATTTATATTACAAAAACGCTGACCTCTTATGAGAGTTCAGGATGTTGGTTCCAGCTGAAATGCAAAGACACGCGGTGTACACAAATTTTTTTTTTCTTCAATCTGATACTTATTTTAGGATGATAAGTATAAAAGGGCACCCGGCACACTCATAGGGAGTTCGCTTAATATAGCGTATTCACCTGGATTCACCTGTTTTTTCAGACTCCTTAGTAAGACAATTCAATCAATCAATCAATTTCGGTTTTATTAAAAATATACCAAATAAAAAGTTAAAGACTAACAATAACTGGCTCACATTGTATCATATAAAAATGCATTAAAAACAATAGATTAAAAATTCAGTAAGAAGTTAAAGTCCGGGGAAAAAAAGGAAAAAAATGATTCTAAATTATAAAATGGTGATAATCAATTTGTCAGTGAATTGAGAAGAAAGAAGAAAGAAAGAGTGAAAAGTTGAAGAGGGGAGAGGGTAAGGATAAAGAGAGATAAAATTTGAAAGAGAGAGAGAGAAGGAAAAAAAACAGGGAAAAAAGATGAGGGATGAGAGAAAGAGAGAAAAAAGAAAAGAGAGTTCAATTTATGACCCCCAAAAAGTAAGCAAATGAACGAGAATTGAGTTGATTCAGCTTAATGAAGCATTGTAAAAGTAAAATGCACATAATACGGATATGTCAAATCAGGTGCGGATCCAGGGGGGGGGGCCGAGCGGGCCTTGGCCCCCCCCCCCCCCCCCCCCGCAAAAAAACCAAAAAAAAGGAGAGAGAGAGAAGGAGAGAAGGAAAGAAGGGAAAGGGAAAGAGGAGAGAAAGGGAAAAAAGAAGAGGAAGAAGAAAAGAAAAGAGGGAAGAAGTAGATCGGGGGGGGGGGCAAAAGGACTTGCCTCCCAGGCTGTTGCCCCCCCCCCCCCCCAATTAAAAAATAAAAGAGAAGGAAGGAAAGGGAAAGAAAAAAGGAAAAGAGGAGATACAAGAAAGGAAAAAAGAGGAAGAAGAAAAGAAAAAAAAGGGGATAACGACACAACAAATCGTCTTCTTTCTCTAATGATTTAATGAAACGTAAGCTTCCGCTAAGCGCGGGAGGGGGAAAACTCAATTCAGACGAGGATTATTTTTATGGAACGGTACAACAAATCGTCTTCTTTCTCTAATAATTTATTGAAATGTCAAAGCTTCCGCGTTTCGCGGAGGAGGGAGGGGGAAACTCGCCCCTCCCTGCACCCACCCACCCCCAATTACGTCACTGCTGGTCACCATTACGAACCAATATTTGAAACGCATAATTTTTAATTTTGCCCCCCCCCCCCTAAGAAATCCTGGATCCGCGCCTGATGTATATACAACGGCAACAGTTTCAATATAAAATGTAAGTTCTTCTTACTTAAATCATTGGTCTGGAAACAATTATTTGCCCATTGTTGTGTATTGTATTACATTTTCACTGACAATGAATTCACATTGTAATGCAATTTTCAAGTTTCCCAGGCTTATTTAGGAGAACAGAAGATTGATATTGTTTAGTTGTACGATAACATCACTCAGTTTGATTTGATTTGATTGGAGATATATCTCATTAAAAACATAGTATAGGCTATACAGTTTCAAACAAACCTACACCATTAAACTTCAAGCTCACTCACACATGATTTATTGCGACACTTTCAAGGCTACTTATTATTTCAAGTTCATATATATACAAAGGGCAACAGCTTCAATATTAAACGTAATTAAATCAATGGTCTGGAAAATGTTAATGCCAATTGTTGTATATTATACAACATTTTCCATAACGAGGAATATACATTGTATAATGCAATTTTCAGGAAAACCATACTTGTCATTACTGTTATATTTGTTATATGATACTAAAGCAAATCGTTTCGCTTATGGATAAGATAAATCAATGTGAAGTACGTGTCAAATAATGAAATCATTACGTGCTATTTTTAACCGGACTAGACATTTGAAACGTATAAAAAATGTATACACTATTGACAGCAAGCAAGTTTTTTAAACAAAGAATTCAGAAATTGAACAACATTGCACATTTTAGTCTACACGGCATGCTCTACACCCTTAGTTGGACTGTAAACAGTTGTCTTCTTAAGTCTTCCATATAAATATAAATTTAAAGGAGGTCAATAATCATTATGAAAACACCCCTTTCGTACGGTTGACACATCAATATATATTGTGCACACATGTAACAATGTGATAATATTTTTTCTAGGGGGGGGGGGGGGGGGGGGACGGGAGGAGGGCAATCCAAAAAGGGACTGATATGTGAACATTAATATTGAAGAAAATATGTATTCTGTTGGTATCACGTATGTACAAGTTACACTGTATGTTAACAAGATTAAAAGTTATAGAAATAGATCAGTGTTCCAAAAATGAATATTCAGCTTGCTCTTTTAAGAAGTCCCTTCCTGCTCAGTCAAACTAAAATTTACCTAGTAAATATTTACAGCCCTTCGGACTGCACACTAGATATCGGCAAAGTAAAAGTGAAGCGTGAAAAAAGTATATTGCTTGTTTTTATGCTGTAGTTTTGCTAAAGAATGTAATTTTGTAACACAACAAAACTTCAAAAACCTGTGAGGGGTTTACATATAAGACTTATCATACAGCTTTATGGGGGTAGTCCCTTCCGTCACCTCCGCCTCTTTCACTGGCGTACTGATGGGGGGGGGGGGCAGTAACCCCCCTCCCCAATACAATTTAAACATGGGTTATTTTTAATTTGATACCAGTGATTTACAAGTATTGCTAAAATGGCAGTATTTTTCCATGAGCTCCCGGGGGCTCTACCCCCTGGAACCCACCAAGGGCCCTAAGGCAGGCCCTGTTTGCTCATCTGGCCGTAATTAAATGCCTAAAGTCTTTGAGCTTTCGGGGGCTCTGCCCTCTGGACTCAACCAAGGGGCCTAAGGCGGGTCCCTACATGTAGATGCGTAATTTGGTGCCTAAAAGCCCTTCCGTTATGTATTTCTTATGTATTTCTTTCTCCATATCCTCTGCACTCTCCTTATGTATTTTTTGTTTTCCCTTTTCTATTACCTTCTCTTCCCTGGGTATACGTGCTTGCACATGAACTATATATGGCTAAACAGTTTTGTAAAAAAAACGGTCAAGGAGTAAGAAGAAGGCAAAAAGAGAACAAAGACGGCATCCATGGAAGCCATGTGAGAGTGTCCACTTTTTTCGCTTTTACTTTCACCCTTGCATTCTTTCCTGAATCAGAGTTTTCTCACACCTTGTAGACTCGTGCAGGTTATGAAATTGCATTCAAACGAGGATAATTTTCGAGAACGCTATAACGAATCGTCTTCTTTCAATAATAGTTTAATGAAACGTCAAAGCTTCCGCGCTGCGCGGAGGGGGGGGGGGCTGAATTAAGAGAAGGATTAAGAGTCGAGAACGGTACAACGAATTGTCTTCTTTCTCTAATACTTTAATGAAACGTCATATATAGCTTCCGCGCTTTGCAGAGGAGGGAGGGGGAAACTCGCTCCTCCCTACATCCCCCTGCATTACGTCACTGCTGGTCACCTTTACGTACCAATATTTGGCTCGCATAATTTCAAATTTGGGCCCCCCCTAAGAAATCCTGGATCCGCGCCTGTGTCAAATGATACATTAATACGAATTCCATTATGGAATTGTTATAATACTGTTTAACATTGGTGAATGTCAATGACCTATACATATTGGTGAAAATTATGAATGAATAATGAGTAATTATCACATTGTCAGAAAATTGAGAAAAGGAAATACAAGACAGAAATAGAGAAATAGTGGGAGGGGGGAGGAGTGAAATGAGAAAGAGAGAGAAAAGGCGTGTGTGTAATTGGGTTTTTACAGACGTGTATCAATCAGATATGATTATTTACGTCTGGGGACCGACCTTTAACGTCACCATCCGAAAGACGTGACTCAGTTTCGAACCTGCGTCCTCGACTGAATCAAAGAGAAAAGGCTAGAGAAAGGGAGAAAGAGAAAGAGACAGACACAGAGAGAGAGGGGGAGAGAGAGAGAGAGTTTGAATAATGACAATACATTGTAAAAAGGTCTAACAAGATTTCAGTTGATTGAATTTAGCATAAGAATAAGAGAGGGAACTGTTGATTTTTTATAGCGCCGCGTTCTGCATCGTGGTGAGGACAAATGATTGGAGTTTCTCAAGCTGCGGCAAGTAATGCCCTCCCATGGCTCATCAATACACCACTGCAAAGAGTTCATGCCTGTGCCTTGTTTCCTAAACTAATTGCTAACCTGAAACATTTTTTTCTCAATACCTCTATGAACAGGGTCACCATCAGTGAGTGTTTACCAACAGAGGGCCGTTGAGGGCGACATGCTGCCGTTCACAAGCAAACCATCCAGTGGGGATTATGATAACAGCAAAGCTCGGAGAACGCAGTCATGCTGGAGGGTAAGGTTTTTATTGGCCATTTTAATTGGATTAGATATTAATAGGAAGTGATAAGTAGGGTACCAGCATCTAGGTCAGTAATATCAGTTTACAATAACATGTAGTTTAAAGCCCCACTGCACTACTTATAGCTAGTTGCGCCCTCTATATAGCAAACAATGCCTTAGCGGCGCCTGGTGGTCCCCCATAATCCTCTTTTTCTTATCGGTATGTTAATTGAGAGCTGATTTGATGAGATAACCACCTGTCAGTGACCTTGCAGGGAGGTCTAATGCCTTCTGGCCAAATTAGTACAGATGGGCTTAACATTTTGGAGACAACTGGCAAGTTTTCCTGCACTCCTGAGAACTTTCCCAAGCCACTAACTGGTTCACGTTAGGCATGAGTCGTCACAATTTCCTATAAAATGGGGGCCGATGGGTGAAAACTGATCAGGCCCCATCGCCCCAATTTTCCAATATTACAAGAGTACAGATTTTCCAATAGATTTCTAGAACTTGGCTTGATCAGGTCAGAAAGAGCAATCAAATTTCACTTTTACTTTATATTGCATACCACCATTCATTCTCCAATAAAAGATATCAGAACTCATTCATTTGATACTATCTTCTGTTGGATTCCTGTTTCAAAGTCCATTTCCTTTCAAAAAAAAGAAAACAGTAAGTGTCTCTTAGAGTTGTCCTTGTCAAGCTGATATGCTTGACCGTGATCTTAATCACCATCGCAAACATGACCTTACAGTCGCTAATCAAAGCACCCTGCTCTATAGAATACACCAACAGCTAGTCAATATTTGTCTTCCTCACCTCATAACCATACATCAGCAGAAGACACCACACACTCAAGCTCTCTGTTCCTTAGGCAACAATCGATTCCTACAAGTATTCATTTTACCAGTTATTGCCCCAACAGTTGCTGCTTTCCAGATGGCCACCCTGCCTGTCACCAGAGGGTTGGAACCTCCTGTAGGTTCCAGAATGCTGTAAACCATATAGCAGCATGATTATTTTTACTTGCACGTCACTATTTTACTGTATAAAGCAATTGTACACCCTTTTGTTGTCTGCACCTTCACCTGCTGTCACAACACATCCCATCCCAGTATAGCTTGGAAAAGCTGCTTCAGGGATTACCTCATCAAGTATCAAGATATTCTGAAGCAGTGTTATCTGTGTATTCTATTAAAGATTAACTTAAACAGTACTTTTGTATGCATATTATAAAAATACTGTGATCTAAAGCAGTAAATAGTTAGTATCAGGGCAAATATCAAGAAGTACAATGTATATGCTTAATACTAATATGATCAGAGTCATTTGGGCATTTGGTCAGAGTAAACAGTGAAAGGCTCTACATTAACATTTTGGGAAAGAACTATTTGAAATCTGTATGAAGGAGCCCTATGTCAAAACTTCAAAATCTTGGGGATCCGGACTTATATTCTGAGTGCCAATGAGTTACCATCAAGCCATAGATTTAATAGTGGAATTGTTTTCGACGGTGCCTAAATTGGCAATATCTTCAAAATGAAAAACAGTCCTTCCGCATGTTTTCTTCTCGCTCCGTTGCAGTTGTGGAGGAGGTTGTCCCGCCTACAGAGGAAGGTCGTCACTGCAATACTCCTCATCAGTGCGCTCGGTGGCTTCATCGTCTTCAGACATTTTGTGCCCGATGAATCCAAGAGCGGGTTGGACAGCGATGCCTTTGCGAGGAATGCTGCCGGGCGTAATAAAGGTTGGCTGGGATTAGGAGGAGGACAGGAGGGGCATGATCCGGTCAACGATGATTTTAATCCTGGAGTTGGAGGAGATGAAATGGGAGTCGCAGGAGATGAAATAGAGCAGGACAAAAGCTTAAAGGTGAGAATCTATCTATCATCAGTCATTTTGATCTCTGGAGGCATTATTTATCACAATATATGTAATCTTTTCCAAATACTTTTGTTGTTAAATCACGTTGACAAGAGCTATACTTAAACTTTTCATCTTGCACTCATCAAAGTAAAATTTTAATGGATTTTACTGGTATTGTATTTTTACCAGTGTTTTTTTTTTCTTTCTTTTTTCTTCTTTTAAAAAAAAAAGAGCTTTCCGGAGCTGGGAGAGTATTATGTGGTAGCTGTGATTTGATTATTATTATTATGATTATTTGTCTGTGTTTTGAATTACAGGGTAGGCCGGGGAAGAGAGGTCCACCCAAACTGCTGGGAGGCAAGCCAATCGGGTTTCAGGATACAGAGAATGTAGACCCCTTAGAAGGAAACCAGCCAATCGGGGAAGAGGATACGGAGAACGCAGACAAGGAGAAGGGGGTGCCTCATCCGGGTATCGAGCTACCACCGGGCGTGGTCAAGGAAGGGGTGAGGAATAAAGAAGATGAAGTGTACATGATAGCCGAGAACGATGACGATGACGACAAGGACGATGATGAGGAATATGATATAGATCGGTCGGACGTGGGTGCTGCCGCAGGCGCCCCAGGGGTAACACAAAATTGTTGAAGAAAACAAAATTGGTGTGCATCTGTGGCTCTCTTTCCATCATCGTTCTTTTATCTTTTGGCTGATTATGCTTAGTATAGCATGAAGGATCGTGTCGGTGTACTCAAGTAGTGCATGCATTCTTTTCAGCGAAGGAAGGGTGTTTCTTCCTTCTGATGTACACTGTATTAATGCATGTATTAAGTACAGTTAAACATGATTTAAGATTTCAATTTTATTTGGAAGGGGTACTTCCTCGAAGGTATTTGGCCTCTATCTCTCGTCAAACATGCATGGAATGTATCTTTAAAGCTCTTCATTTCTGATTTAGGTTATAAATTATGCAAATAGTTGTCAGCTTTCTCTGCCAATTCTAGTTTGATTTGATAGCTTTTTCAAAGCAAATTATTTTGTAAAATATTGTATATATTGTCACTTATTCATTGCTCTGTGATGACTCTTTAATGTCTTAGTGATGTTGTATTATGGTTTGAAGACTCTTATATTTCGTAGGATAGAATATTTTTCAACATTTTATCATAAAAATATGTATATTTTTACCTGCTATACATTTGATCTTTCACAATTTCCAATTTTTTTTCTCTCAAAATGTGTGGGTCATAATTAGAAAATGTTTTAGGTTTAATGTTTAAGTCTTAATGTTTAAGTCTTGAAGCAAAATTGTTAGGCGATACCACAGATTATGAGAAGTTTTGAAAACCTACCTATACTGTTTCCATGGTGTGACAATTCCTGATCAATCACTGTTCATTATATACCGGTAGGCTTGAATTTCGGTCACCATCTCGGTGGCTGTGTTTCGTTTTAAAGTAATACTCTGCTAGTTTATTTATTGTTTATAAATCTATTTTCTCTAGTAGATGTGAAGTGATTTTAAAGGGATATCTTAACCTCTCGACTATGAAGCATTATCATGACATAGAGAGTAAAACAACGTTTCATTTGATACAAAAAGCATTGCTGTAGGCCAAATAATATGGTCTTGCAAGAACAATAGAATCCATGCGATACGTCACAGAACAATGGCAACGTACTGACAATTCTCAGAGCCGCAAAAAAATGAAGGATTCCAAAGAAGAGTTACGTCCTCCCTTTCGTCAAATGTATGATGTTTTGTATTTTTTTAGATGTTTGAAATGGCCTACAAATTGAAATTAAGATGTAGTTTGAGGTTAATTCTCAATTAATCTTTACATCTTTACTAAGCCATGATAACCTCTTGAAAATCAAGGGTATTTAGGAGACACTGAACTCACCTTTACTGTGCACTCACGTGTCTTTTCTATCATTCATTTAGGAGGCTGACGAGAAAGAAGTGGTCCTTCCTCTTCCTGACAATGAGAAAGATAAAGATAACCATGGCGATAGCGACCCTCAATCATTGTATGGTAAGTGACTTTGTGCTTTTTGTTTACAGGTCTCTCAGTGACAAGGCTCCCTGACCTCATTCTTTTGACCTAGTGTCAATAACGCAATCAAATGATAATAATCAGTATTACCATTGACTTTGGATAAAGCATTTAGTGCTGGGATGAACTCTTTACATGCCGTACAAACATTGTCCCTGTGCACCCTTGTATTGATTGTGGGATCAGGATTTTTTAACTGCTTCTAGTGCAAGATTAATCTATACCAGAGTTGAATGGGTTGTCATTTCATTTTATTTATTTCATTTCCAGGACCATGTAGCAATAACAAAGAATACAAGAAAACAAATTACAAGGATAAAGATAATAACAGAAAAAAGGCCATCAAGTAATGGCTGGGTTTTACCAAAAGAAACAGAGTTTCTGTAGATTAGTTGATGGTATAAAACATAACTTTACACAAATATACATCAATATACATAATTAAATAAGGTAATATTATTCAATACCAAAATGATGCAAAAGACGAATCAAGAGATCCTAAATATAAAATAATCATATAAAATAGTCATGGAGCTAATCAAGACTGGAAGTGGGACATTTTGCAATGCCATTGTGTTGCACAAAGCAAATGCTTCCGTTTCATTGCTGCCCACTGTTTTGTAATTTGTGTGTAAAATTGCATCTGGCAAATGTGCGACGGTGTAGAGAGGCGAGGAAAGTACCGTATATTGTTATATACAGTTAACAGCTAAATTTTTTTATGTTTTTTGTGTTTTTCTTAACTCAAGAATGAAAGGTGGACTGGTTGAATTAGGACCTTTGTAGAATAATTAATTTGTTAACTGTAGCTGTTCATCATTTGAAAAGAGTTTGCGAAAATAATTTGTAAGGCTTACTGGCACTTTACATTGATTTGAAGATAATCACAGAATCAGCCTGCTCCTGACATCATTTCACATAGTGATTCTCATGTTTTTTAAGGTGGAGAGGCACGGCATATGGGCATTATAAAATATATTACTTGTAGATGGTTCAAAATCTCAAGCGTCGTTTGTTTTTCTCTCTCCAGGTGCTAAGAACGAACGGCAGCGCGCGGTGGTAGATGCCTTCAAGCACGCCTGGAAGGGCTACAAGGCCCATGCCTGGGGCCACGATGAGCTCAAACCGATCAGCAAAAAATGGAGCGAATGGTTCACTCTCAGTCTGACCATGGTGGACAGTCTTGATACAATGGTCATCATGGGTTTGACCGATGGTAAGTCCAGCCCCTAACAAATCGTCGCCCGGCTGGCAGAAGGGCGTTTTTCGCGCAAGCGACTCGTAAACTACTTTTCAAATTATTCGCAGTTAAATATTTGTTATGCCTCCGTTACGAAGTAGCCGGAGGCATTATGTTTTCGGGTTGTCCGTCCGTCCGTACGTCCGTACGTCCCGTTCTCGTGATCGCGTTATCTGAAGAACCGATTGATGGATTCCTGCCAAACTTTGGTCATGTATGTATCTTGCAGAGCCGATGAACTGATTAGATTTTGGGGTCATGAGGTCAAAGGTCAAAGGTCACAGGGCTCATTATGTATGCAAAAACAGCTCGTGATCGCGTTATCTCAAGAACCGATTGATGGATTCCTGCCAAACATTGGTCATGTATGTATCTTGTAGAGCTGATGAACTGATTAGATTTTGGGGTCACGAGGTCAAAGGTCAAAGGTCACAGGGCTTATTATGTATGCAAAAACAGCTCGTGATCGCGTTATCTCAAGAACCGATTGATGGATTCCTGCCAAACTTTGGTCATATATGTTACTTGCAGTGCCGATGAACTGATTAGATTTTGGGGTCTTGGTCAAGGTCAAAGGTCATGCGGCTCATTATGTATGCAAAAAATAGCTTGTGATCGCATTATCATTAGAACAGATTGATGGATTCCTGCCAAACTTAGATCATGTATGTATCTTGCAGAGCCAATGAACTGAGTAGATTCTTGGGTCATGAGGTCAAAGGTCAAATGTCATGGGCTCATTATGTATGCAAAAATAGCTTGTGAACGCATTCTCATTAGAACTGACAGATGGATTACTATTTAACTCAGGACATCTTGCAGAGCCAATGAACTGAGTACATTTTAGGGTCAAGAGGTCAAAGATCAAAGGGTCATATATGTATATGAGAAATTGCTTTTTGGTTTGTAAACTTGCTCTATGACGGAGGCATCATTTTCGACTGCGCGCAGTCGAAGTTCCATCTAGTTTTATATTTAAACTGCTTTCCATCCCAAAAAGACTAATAGAAATGTTATAGTAGAATTTGGGGGGGGGGGGGGGCAAATAAGTCAGTTTTATAAAAGTTTGAGGCGATTTAGTGCTAACAACCTTCTGCTTAGCCCTTCATTTTTAAACTGAAATTCGAGCTAATGCCCTTCTACCAGCCAGGCGATGAAATCATGATCGCAGGAGAATAGAATCTGCAATATTTGAATGGTCATTACAAAAATATAACATTATTTCTTGCTGTAAAGATGACCCATGTTTGGGATTGAAGAAGTAAAAAACTTACCTTTGCACACCCCCTTTATCTCGTGAAGAACAGATTTCAAGCCACATAAAAAAATGATGTCTTTCCGGTTATTGCTTACCAGGTAGTTTTTTGACAGTGGTCACATCAACTTTATCTCATGAAGAAAATGATGTCTTTCCCGTTATTACTTAAATATATTTGTTTACATTGGTCATTGTTGGGTTTAGTATTTCAGTATTGACAGTTTAGATCAGCCAGTTATTCACCATCATCATGAGAAACGGATCTCCCATTAAACTGAATAAGATTATTAAATTGTGATTTTAAATCATCAAATCGGTCTCAAATGGGAAAGTTATAGTTGGTCCATCACATTTCTGAACATTGACACTGTTCTTGTTTCCGTTTTTACAGAGTTTCAAGAGGCCCGGGATCACATTGCACAGATGAGTGTAACTCCTAACAAAGATGTCAATTTATTTGAAACAACAATTAGAGTTTTAGGAGCCTTTCTCAGTACTTACCATCTCACCGGTGACGAAATGTTCCTTCAAAAAGCAGTAAGTTCAATATTGATACAGTCAAACCTGCATTTAATAGCAACCACCTGTATAGAAAGACCACCTGTCTATAAAGACTATTTTTCATGTTTTACCTTGAGCGGTCTTTATATACAGGTTTTAGGAAGCTTTCTCAGTACTCACCGTCTCACCGGTGATGAAATATTTCTTCAAAAAGCTGTAAGTTCAGAATTGATAGAGTGAAACCTGCTTTGAATAACAACCACCTGTATAGAAAGACCACTTTTCATGTTTTACCTTGAGCGGTCTTTATATACTTGTTTTAGGAAGCTTTCTCAGTACTTACCATCTCACCGGTGATGCAATGTTTCTCAAAAAAGCTGTAAGTTCAGTATTGATACAGTCAAACCTGCTTTTAATATCAACCCCCTGTATAGAAAGACCACCTGTCTATAAAGACTACGTTTCCCTTGAATAAGGTTTCTCATTGAAACCAGTATTAAGGAACTTGTACATTAAGACTACTTGCCTATAAAGACCACTTTTCATGTTTCCCTAGAGCGGTCTTTATATACAGGTTTCACTGTATATTATTTAACAGCGTGCTGATTAAAATTGAATCATGTACTTAGCAATTTATTTCTTGTATCATACCTCCTTTGAACTAGTGGTTTTACTTGGTGTATTGCAGTCAGGCTTTTTCTATGATTTTTAAAGATATGTCTTAAGCTTCTATAAAATACATGCTACATTTAAGAGGCTGGTTTAAAACAAATACAAATGTTCAAGGAACATGTAAATGCAGAGATCAAATGTACAAGGAAACATATTTCAAGTAGCTAGACAGTCCTTGTCCCATTGAACTTATTCTCCTGCCCTGGGGGGTGTTTCACAAAGATCCTAAGTAGAACTTACATGTAACACTAAGTTGGACTTAAAAATTATGGACAGCCATTGGAGCCTTAAAATGAAATATATTCAAAAGCAGAAATTCAAGTATTTTAGACTTTTTATGAATTCCACATCTAGAACATGAAGTCTCCTTGATGATAGATACTATGAATGATTTAAATCAACATTTTATGCCTTTCAAAATAACTTTTACAAAATATTTTCAAAGATGCTAATGGCTTTCCATAAATTGTAAGTCCAACTTAGAGATAAGTTTAACTTAGGATCTTTGTGAAACACCCCCTGGATATAAGTAACACACCTTGCAAGACAGATAAGGGAAAGATAGAGTAGAAATGAAGGGAAAGATAAAATGAAAAGGAGCATGTGTGGTGATAATTTGTCATGCCGCACAGCACCCTTTTCCCCAAGACATAACACAGTTAGATTGTTGTGCCAAGCATGAGGGATGTAAGAAATAATGGAAGAAATAACAAATTTCCTGAAATAGTTAATAGATCCGTCAATTGATTATAAATATCATCCTGCATCAATACGCAAGGGCTCCCATCCTTTCTGAGATGCTGCAACCCAAATTCACTTAGGTTGCTACCACTTGCAAGAATGGTTGCAGTAAGCTTACTGTCTTACTGATCATGAATATTTTGACATGATGCTCAACTATAATCATCTAGGCTATGCACACCTGTACCCCACAACAATAAGGATGTTCTTATCTTCATCATCATCATCATCATTTGTGGAAGTCGGCATTTTCCATCTTATGAGGGGTTACTGACTTTTCACGCAATGTAGACACTCCCTCCCTCCACTTCTTCTTGTCTTGAGCATACTTGTCGTAAATAGACCAACCGTACTGCTTTCTTTCTTCACCACATCTTTCCATGAAATCTGCAGTCTTCCTTCCCCTCTTTTATATGCCATCCACCTCCAGATCACAGGTTCATCATCTCCCCTCCTCCCTTTTAACCCATGCACATGATTATCACCAATGTATCCAATCTGGGGGGGTGTTTCACAAAGATTTTAAGTCAAACTTAACTCTAAGTTGGGCTTAAAAATTATGGAGAGCCATTTGTAGCCTTATAATGAAATACATTCAACAGCAACATTTCAGGTATTTTAGACTTCTCATAGCTTCCACATCAAGAATATGAAATCTCCTTTGATAATAGAAAATATGAATGATTTGAATCAACATTTATGCCTTTAAAAAAAGTTTTACAAAATATTTTCAATGATGCTAACAGTTTTCAAAGTCCAACTAAGAGATAGATAACTCAAGATCTTTGTGAAACACCCCCCTGATGCATTATCAATATCGTCATCAAGGTCATTCTCAACCCCTGTTCTTGTCATCAACAGGTAACTCTTGGGGACAGCTTGCTGAACTGTTTCCAGAGTAGAACGGCCGTACCCTTCTCGGATGTCAACCTGCAGACGGGCAACGCACACGCGCCACGCTGGGGACCCGACAGCTCCGTCTCCGAAGTCAGTACTATTCAACTCGAGTTTCGAGATCTCTCCTTCACTACCGGTGATCCAAAGTACAAGGAGGCCGTGGATAAGGTTAGAATTAGGCCTAGGGGGTGTTTCACAAAGATCCCAAGTTAAACTTAACCCTAAGTTGGACTTAAAGCTAAAGACCAGTTATGGTCATGCGATTGCATTGTGAAAGAAACGTTGTGAAATCGATCAGAAAAGGTTGATCATCTAGCATAGATGTACTGCAAGGTTCTGGTATCATCAAAATGATAAGAAATTTGGCCAAGTCTTCATAAAGTTAGAAGCACTGTACACAGAAAGATGTATATGGGACTACACACACGTGCGCGACATGTGCATTTCATCTCTCAACAGGCGAGAGATACACTAATTTACCAAATATATCAATAAGTAGGCGGTTTCCCGTCAACATTTTTATCATCATGTAATATTCAAAACATATTCTTTCACATGATTGGTAATAAGAGCTTCCATTTCATTTTTTGAAATTAGGGCATTTCCAATACTGGTCTTTACCTTTAAAACTTATGGAGAGCCATTTGTAGCCTTAAAATAAAATATATTGAAAAGTAAAAAAAAGTACTTTAGACTTTTTATAAATTCCACATCAAGAATATAAAATCTCCTTGATAATAGAAAATATGAATGATTTGAATCAACATTTTATGCCTTTTAAAATAACTTTTACAAAATATTTTCAATGAGGCTAATGGCTTTCCATTATTGTTAAGTCCAACTTAAAGATAAGCTCAACTTAGGATCTTTGTGAAACACCCCCTGTAAATGTTTTTCCAACTTGGGAAAAATTGTGATCATGAGCTTCTGTTTACATTGTAAGGACAGGTCTATGCTTCATCTTGGTATTCATGTGTCACTGGGTGTTGTCACTGAAGATTTTTAAAATAGAACAATAAGTATACTTTATGAGTTAAATTACTACCCATGTTCGACCAGACTGTAAACATGTACACGACTTTATGTTCCATTATTAGAAGGAAAAAAAAGATGTTTTTTCCAATTTGTATTGAGCAAAAACAACTGGCAAAGATCACTACATAATTAGACCAAGCAGCGGTATCATTTTCACACGCACATAACCAAAACTGATTGTTCCTTTAACCAAGTTCTTTTTTTCTTTTTTTTTAAGGTTATAATATTGTTGAATTTAAACAGAATTGAAAAAAAATAAATGCTACGGTAAGTAATCAGTGACGAGTTCCTTTTCATGTAACCACTTCCCTGATACCTTAGTAAAAAGAGATTGTTATTGTTTTCTCCGCACAGGTAATGATGCATCTTCACAATTTGCCAAAGAAGGAAGGTCTGGTACCAATCTTCATCAACGCCAACTCTGGTCAATTTCGACCCAACTCCATTTTGACCCTGGGAGCACGAGCAGACAGCTACTACGAATATCTGCTCAAACAATGGCTGCAGACGAGCAAGTCGGAGAAACGGTAAGCATTTTACAGCTCATTCAGGGATTTGATGAGATATGAAACTTGTTCTTAGTTACAAATAATTTTGCTGTCTGAACAGCCCACTACACGTATCTGCATGATGAATAAATTTGACTTACTGTTTAATAGCCATTTTTTCTTAAAGCCCCACTGTCCTACTTGTAGCTACTTGCTCCCTCTATATAGAAAACTTCCCCAATCAGTGCCTGTTGGTCCCCCATGATCCTATTTTTCTTATGTTAGTTGAGAGCTGAGTTAATGAGATAGCCACCTGTCAGTGACCTCGCTAGGTGGTCTAATCCCCTCTGGCCCAGTAGTATTGACGGTCTTTAATATTTCATTATCAGACCTAAACATTTCCTGTTAAATGTGTCTTCGTTTCTATTCATATTACTTGCAAGGTGCCTTCTTTGTAATGTGAAGTTACTTCTGTTACCAATCAGCTCATGAACGTATCCATGTATTTGATGAGCTATCTCCCTCTGCTTCTCTTTCTCTCAATGTTTTCCTGTCAGTATCCTGTTTTCTGTCCCTTCTCTTCTCATAATATGCCCAACAAACTGAAATTGTCTTTTCCTTATGATGTTAACGAGGAATCTATCGACACATGCCTTATTGAGCACTTCTTCCTTTGCTATCCTGTCAGTCCAAGATATCTATACAATTCTATTCTATACAGTAGGCTTGCGGGTGCACCATGTGAGAGAGAGGGAGGATTGAGGAGTCCTGAAAAGGACTCTCGGTAATCTTTCTTGAGGGTGTGTAGTCCTGAAAAGGACTGTTGGTGTAGTCTTGATACTTACAAGCAGCATCTAATTCTATTGTATTTATATATCTGTGTGAATGTGTTGATTTCAGTTTCCATGACGATTACATAGAAGCAGTAGAAGGCATCAAGAAGAAGCTCTTAGGACAATCAGAACCCAACAAACTGACATTCATCGGGGAGCTTCATAGAGATACATTCTCCCCCAAGATGGTGAGTTCTATTAAAGTGGAAATTCAAAGAAAATCACAAATATGTCATCTAATGTATCACTAGAAACTGGTGAGCTAACAGATGGCCATCGTACAAGTTTTAGGTCAACCACTGTACATATCGACCAATTTATAAAAATACAAATACAACCACCTGCATAGCATCTGGGATATACGAGAGATTCGCCAGAAAAATAATGATGTTTTAATGACGTCACATAATGGACCAATACTGCCCAAGCAGATGACATCCCTTAGAGAATGAACATAATTGCAATGCTATTGTTTCCTAAATTATAATGAGTTTAGTGTATATAAATGTGATGGCATTTCAAACCATTCAAAAAGGGATATGAAACTGATTCCGATAACTAAAATCTTTTCTTTGAAAATACACGGGATAGGGGTTAATTAACAATCTAAGAAACCAGACTTTCAAATTGAAAAACCCCTGGAATGACATTAAGGACGGCCTTTGTTCCCTCTTGAAACGCCGAATATACCGCGGTGTATGAATATGGCGTCTTATTTTGTTTACAAGCAACAGATTCCTTTATTTTTGTATCGCTGCATTTATCATCAAAATAAAACCATGCACGGGTTTAGAGTGAGGCAATAGATTATACATTTAGCCTGACGGTAGTGAAGTAAGAGATAGAACTCAAGAGAAGATGAAAAAACAGGCACTGAAAATGTGTGAGATGTCATGGGACATCGTCTGCTTGTGCAAATCATGTCCATCCTGTGATCTCACACTTCTCAGCAGAGTTCGGAGAGCTCTTCAGGTGCTATGCCGGGGCTGTATTTAAGCATTTTGTAATTTATAATAATCATTACTTCGAATGTTTCCAAGCATTGAATTTTGATAATCTTGTTGAATCAACGTTTCAACTTTGCAATAATGAAAATAAAGTTAGTTTTTAAAATCAATGAATATCTACTTTAAGGACTGTAGTAATCATCCACAGTTAAATGGTGGCATTCTCGAAAGTGGACTAACTTTAGTCAATGGTTTAATCCACCGACTAAGTATGGAATGCTAAGTGTCCATATGAATATATTTTTGAATAATTTGATATGTCCCTAAATTACCATGATAACATACATGTACTTATATCGTAGTTATATCGTTGTTTATTAATTAGGTTATTAAATTTTATTGTAATTTAGTGACAGATTAAATTATTCAAAAACATATTAATATGGACACTTGGCATTCCATACTTAGTCGGTAGATTAAACCATGGTCTAATGTTAGTCCGCTTTCGAGAATACCACCCAAAGAGAAGGTTGAGTTCTGGGAGAGGTGAAAAATAATTTGTGAACGTTATCATTGTTATCATGCAAGTGTGGAAGAACATCAGAGAAAAATGTTCCCTGAAAAGCATGGCTCTTGAATGCCTTTATATTCTAAATATGACAAGTAACAGCTAAAAGATGAGGCCCGATTTTGATGCCACCTGTTTGTGTAGTGCCATATACATCTTTTTTTTTACAGTGCATGTTACTTTACCAAGACTGGGCCAAATTTCTTTTCATTTTGATGTCTCCAGAACCTTGCAAAACACACCGATACTTATATGCTGCATGATCAAAATTTTCTGATCGATTCCACACCGTTTCTTTCACAATGTAGTCGCATTACCAGAACTCAACTTTATCTTTAGCAACTAAATTATTCATACCCTTACCAAGTTTTGTAATTTTTCAAGTATGTTAAGAATAAAAAACAAATTATTCATACGCTAACCAAGTTTTGTAATTTTTCAATTATGTGAAAAATTGATTTGCCCTGATATATGTTTTTTGAGAATGTGACATATCAAAAGGTACAGCTAAAAGTATTCAACAAATGCTCTAAGTCAACCAGCCCACTTTTCATTTTTGAGTAACAAAAAGACAGAAAACATCAAATTCGTCCTTGTTTTCACGAAGTGACGGTAGTGAGGAAAATCTACACGCAAAGTGAATGCAATTTTTTTTCACTACCGTCACTTCGTGAAAACAGCGACGAATTTACAAGGGGTATGGATAATTCTGTTGTTGACTGACTTGCAGGTTAGAAACAGCATCAACGCAGGCAATGTTATTTCACAGTAATACAGAGAGAAGTATGGGGTTAGTATGTGTATGTCTTTAAGAGGTGAAGTTTAGAGTAAGGTATTGAAAAGAACCGACTGTCAAAAACTGGTGTTGAGGGGGGGGGGGGGGGCGGCATCTTGTTACACAACCATGAAATGAAGATTTGGTACAGCTATGAGGGTAAGAAGTAATGATTATTTTTGGGGGGCACTACTAGTGAAGATGGAAAATGGAAAGTTAAATGAAGGAATATCATTTGTATTATGTGTATTAGTGCTACCTGATTAATTATATGCAACAATGATTAATTATATGCACCAGTTTTTTGCACATTCCTCTGCAGCTCTCATATTTTACTCTTGTTCTGTTGTTTATTTTTAGGATGAGTTGGCATGCTTCTTTCCTGGTACACTAGCCCTCGGCCACCACAACGGTCTGCCAGACTCTCATCTGGAGCTAGCCCAGGAGGTTGCCCATACCTGCTTTCAGATGTATGCCCAGATGCCTACCTTCCTAGCTCCAGAAATCACTTACTTCAATACCTTGCCTGGTATGAAAGAGGATCTCAATATCAAGGTATGTCAGTCAGTCATTAAGTCTTTAAAGCCCCACTGCACTACTTATAGCTACTGGCGCCCTCTATATAGCAAACAATGCCTAATCGATGGCCATTGGTCCCCCATGATTCTCTATTTCGTATGCTATAATTGAGAGCTAATTTGATGAGATAATCACCTTTCAGTGACCATGCAGGGAGGTCTAATCCCCTGGTCAAACTAGTACAAACAGGATTTAAAGTCTTTAAGACGCACTGGGCCCTGTTTCACCCAGTGACTAATGACAGTTTTTGTTATAAGCTACTGAAATCCTTGGTTCTGATTGGTTATTAGCAGATTTGTCACTGATTTTTGTCATTTTTCATTGAAAGAAGGCTTTGTGAAACGGGTCCCTGCCTCTACTGCATCACGGGACAGAACTCTTAAAATCTAATGATACTCAATGTCCATAGGATTCTGTTTTAATCCATCACCTTTCTTATCTCTTCTTTTCCTTACGTGAGCAGCCAGCGGACGCGCACAACCTGCTGCGACCAGAGACCCTCGAGAGCTTCTTCTACCTCTACCGCATCACAGGACAGAACTTCTATCGCGAGTGGGCGTGGAAGATCTTCCAGGGCTTCGAGAAGTACACCAAGATACCCGGAGGAGGCTACTCGTCCATCAGTAATGTTAAAAACCCTGATAACGTCAACATGAGGGACAAGATGGAGAGCTTCTTTCTCGGTGAAACATTGAAATATTTATTCCTGATATTCAGTGATGACCCCAATTTAATATCGCTCGATAAGTATGTATTCAATACCGAGGCCCATCCTCTCCCGGTGAGAGATGGACAAGGCCATCAAGTGCAATAATTGAAATTTATATAAACTTAAAGGGTGGTATTCTCAAAAGCGGACTAACTTTAGTCCATGGTTTAATCCACCGACTAAGTATGGAATGCCAAGTGTCCATATGAATATATTTTTGGATTATTTGATATGTCCCTAAATAACCATGTTAACATATTTATATCATAGATATATTGTTGTTAATTAATTATGTTATTACATTTTTTTTTTAATTTAGTGACAGATCAAATTATTCTAACACATATTCATATGGCCACTTGGCATTCCATACTTAGTCGGTGGATTAAACCATGGACTAAAGTTAGTCTGCTTTGGAGAATATCACCGATATTGGGCAGAGGAGTTTGAAAGCCTTGTTGACACATGACACGGTAAACCATCTCACGAAAACTGCCACCGCAAAATAGAAAGGATTGTAATAATAATAATTATCCTTGCTTATATAGCGCCTAACACTTACTTTATCAGAAGTCTCTAAGCACTCTACAATAATGCAGCATGATTGTACAGTCAGACCTGCTTTAGTGACTTTCTGTCTACAAAGGTCACCTGTCTATAAAGACCACATTTGTTGTTTCCCTTGAAAATGGATTCTCATTGAAACATGTACTAAAGGAACCTGTCTACAAAGACCAGTTTTTGTGTTTCCCTTGCGTGGTCGCTATAGACAAGTTTGACTGTATCTTTAAAGAATAGGCAAGTGGTGTTTGAAAAGGATGGGTGCATACAAGAAAGGATGAACAGCATACTCACCTGTGTTTAGAGCCCACGGCATACTACAACATCGTCCTGCGATCTGATTTTTTGGAAGAAATGTCAATCAATTGGATAGGAAATCCAAACAGACATCATCTTCCTGATTTAACTGCTAAATAATGATGAGAATACCAACATCCGGAAATTTAGTGCATTGAACCCGTCTAGTCAGAAGACAGCCGAATCGACTTCAAATCGTAGACAATCGCAGTGGTGGTCTGACGTTACTACGATGCTGAGCCGATATAGCTTTTCCTCTTCCGAGGTAGCATGAAATTCCTTAAAAATGTAGATTTTCTTTATGACTATTCTGATCCTCGGTCATTTACACATTTGAATGTTTGTATCAAATGCTAATATAAATTCTTCAAAAATCACATTGTAGTTGGATCGTGGAGAGTGTGTGTGTAATTGGGTTTTTACAGATGTGTATCAGTCAGATATCATTATTTACGTCTGGGGACCGACCTCTAATTTCATCATCCGAAAGACGTGATTTTGTTCGAACCTGCATACTCGGCTGAATCAGTTTGTAACTTTTATTGTTAGCCGGGAACAGGCGCACGCCACAACGCCCTGTAAAGAAGTCATTTTATTTTGCTCCAGTGGTATTTGTTAGATGGTCTACTGTATTAGTGGGAGCGAGGTTGAAATAATTTTGAAGCAATTTACTAGCATTAGCATTATTTTTTTCCTGCCAAATTTTTACATTATAATGATAAATTTTGTTTCAAGATGTACAAACTATTTATTAAGAATACCTAATATAGCATTTTGTGGATGGTGGATAGTTTGCTACTTTAGAACTGCAAGAGCATTTGGTGCAAGTGTTATTCATGCTCTTTTGGTTCGAGAATATATATGAAAAATCTATCTGTCAATCATACAGCATTGATTGACAATGATTGTGAATATTTTATTGACATTGACAGTGATATTAATAGTTATAACCCGTATCAGACATCTGAGCAATGGTTTTACAAAATCGTAATACACTTGTTGTAGTCCTAAAAGAGATGATCAGTAAATGTGAGACCATATTACCTTCTCATGAAAAGCCTATGGACTTTACCTGTTAAAAAAGCAGGAAATAAAGTCTCATGTTCACCGCACCGTATTTCATCACTTTCATTACGCATCTATTATGCGTACGAGAACCTGCGCAGTTTGTGCGCACTCTATTGTGATGTAATAATCACACCAAATTACATGTAGGTACACTGTTACAGTGTATCGACAATTTTGTCAAGCACTGGATGCTGTGTGCTGGTTTCACAAAGCTTTTTCAGTTCTATGAGATTGTCATGGTTGATTTATGTATTTGCTTTAGATGTCTGATTTGGATAACAATAACAATATTGACTGGCTTATTAACTTTTGGGAGATACCACATACATTTCCCACACAAGACCCATATTGCCCTCGTCTTTGACTCAGGGCAATATGAGTCTAGTTTGGGAAATATATGTTGTATCTCCCTCAAGGCCAGTCAATATTATATATTATTACCCGTATCAGACATCTGAGCTGGTCATTTACAAAACCGTATTGCCCTAGTTTTCACTAGCAGTGGGAACGGAGGGGTATATTCTTTGTATTTTCCTTGGTCTCCCTGCGCGTATTGACTTTGCGTGTAGAGACGAGTGAAAATATACCTTGGTATTTTCCACGGTCTCGCATTTTCATTGCGCATCTATTAATATTATGCGTACGAGAACCTGCGCACTTTGCGCGCACTGTATTGTGACGTAATAATCAAACCAAATACACACTGTTTGTAGTGTATCGAAAATTTTGTCAAGCACTGGATGCAAAGTGTTGGTTTGACAAAGTTTGTTCAGTTCTTGAGATTGTCATGGTGGATGTCTGTATTTGCTCTAGATGTCTGATTTGGATAACAATAAAAATATTGACTGGCTTTACTTTCGGGGGATATCAGAAATATTGACCACGCTAAGACCATATTGCTCTCGTCTTTCGACTCGGGGCAATATGATCTGAGCTTGGTCAATATTTCTGATATACCCCTCAAGGCCAGTCAATATTATATAAATGTTTATTATGATGATAATATCAAGATGATTTTATACCTGCTTTGAGTACACTGTGCTTCCAGAATCCAGATATTAAGTTTAATGAGTTAAAATATTTGTTGTTGTAATCTGGACCCTGTTTCATAAGACTTGTTATCGATTACATCTGGCACAGATCCATGACAAATCTTACCTGTAGCCAATCAAATGCAAGGATTTCAGTGGCTTGTAACAACTATCATATCGTGTTTTTTTCGATAACAAGTTTTGTGAAACAGGGCCCTGACGTGTATGTTGTCTGATTTGCATGGTTTAAACCTCAGTCCCATTGCCAGACCGACTCCGAACTGACAGATTTGTGGCCATTCGACATAATGTATTTTGTGTTCGGTCGGTTGGTTGTCGGTATGGTGTCGGTCTTGTTGGTACGACTGAGGTGTTAAAAATACAGCGATGTTTATTTGTGCCAAATAGATCTACACATATCCCTCCGCCTGTTTTATTTTTCGTTTCAAAATGACGTAAATTCAAGTTGTGTGCATATGACTGCTCTATGAATTGACAAAATTCACTTTGATAATGATATTCTTCTTTTTTTAAATAGAAAATGACATAGCAACTCTTGGGTTGTGGAAAGATTATCCTTAAAAAATACTCTTTATGGAATTAGTTTATCTGGAGGGGGTATTGACTGAAGATTGAGTAGAGATTACCAATGACCAAAAGATATATATTGGTATGTGAATTTGTTGAATATTAATAGATTTCACATCGTATTCACCGATTACTGCACTATTTTCCTTGTTCATAATTGACGTGGTAAGCCAACAACAACTAGAAAAAGGGGAAGGGAAAAAAGAAACTGCAGTTAATGGATGGTGAGTGGGTATGAAGGCCACTACTAAATCTTACTCAATTAATATCTGTACGTTGTACATGTGAAGCACAATTTTACAGTGTTCAGAATTTTTTATAGGCAGCTTTATTCATCATGAGTGCACAAAGCCATAGGCTCAACAATGTAAACAGCATTTAGAACTGTGTATCTTTAACAGTATGTTTCACTTTAATTAAATAAGAGAAAAATTTATTTCTAATACTATATGCTCAGCTTTGAATGTCATTTGGAAGGGATGACCCATTTAAACAAACTCGATAGACAACTCAAGAATCTGGTACAATGTGTGAAATCGTCCTAACAAGACCCCTTTTAAAAGTATTTTTAGATTATATATCTATTAATATGTAATGGCATACAAAGCATGCTCATGTCCACAATCAATTATGGGTTGGGTTTAGACCATGGATGTGTGTGGTATGTGTACTGTGTATAGCAGATGGTTTGTTCACATTCTATCTCTAAATGTCATTTTTGTAATGGATATTTTACTCAGGGTTTGTTACTTTGCTTGTAAAGATGTTATCTCTGCCAATTCTAGACCATTATGTTTTCTCAGTCCTTTTCTTGGATTATTGCAAAGAAATGTCTGACCGTTAGTACCGACCCGGCGGCCTGGTTAATTGTCCAAAGCACAGTGGAATCCTCAATCGCACATAAGGCCATGTAAAAAAATAAACATGTTTAGCGTCCCCGCCTGCTTCCTTTTGGGGGGCCGCCTCCTATTTTTTTTTTTTTTTTATTAAAAAAAAAAAAAATTAAAAGAAAAGAAACATGAAAAACACTGCTAAAATGGATCTATTTCTGATTTAAAAAAAATATTTAAAAAAATGTTGTCGGCCATCTTGAAAAATAGCCCGACTGTCAGGGAGAATGCACCGAGCGGCCTTTTTGAGCAGCCATTTTTGAAAGAAAAAAAAAAAAAAGGGCCTCCTCCTTCCTAGGCAAAAAAACAGGACGCTAAACATGTTTTTTTTTTTATTTGGCCTAACACAATAAGCTGCCTCAAAACAGGGTAAACAAATCCAAAGAGATCTTTTTTGACCACTTAGGTTTTAGAAACGTACATGTAGACCACTTCAGGTAGCCACTTTTCTTTGTTTCATCACAAGATACAGAAAATCTTGTCTGACATTTGTATTGCCTTTAGTTCCCAAAATTGTAGGTCTTTCTGCTATTTTCCATATATTTAACCCCAAAAATGTAGCACAAAATGTAGTTCTTAATAATACATCATCGTATCATTTAGGATATCTGAACCTATATGACCATTTACTGAAATAAATATGCATTTTGCGAGTTTTGTAATACTACCTAGGTTTACTGTAAACACAGAATTTCTATGGGCATGAAACTCTCTTTCATACCATGAGTGATTGAAATTTGTGAAATTAATTAATGCACAATCATTATTGAATATGCGTACTTAACATTAGATTATGTCATCAAGTTTTATGGTTTACAATTTTCGATTTTTCAAAGCTTTAGATTTAGAGTTTTGAGAGAGTTGTTTACTCCTCAGACATTAAAATAACATATAATTGATCTTATTGTTATATATGGCATTATAAGCTTTCCGTTGATATATAATTCATCTATTTAATTTTTCACTTCTGACAGGGTCTTTAATAAGGTTAAATTGTATGTGAAACTTGAGGGATGGAAGCGGACAATAATTGTTCACCAATTAATATTCTTTCTATTCTTTCTCTCTCTCTCTCCCTATCTCTCTCCCTTTCTTTTTCTATATATATACTACAGTTAAAAAATTAATTATTCATACCCTTAACAAGTTTTGTAAATTTTCAAGTAATTGAAAATTGACTTGTAGTGACCTACACTTCTTGACAATGTGACATTTTAAAGCTTATATCTAAAAGTATTCAACAAACGCCTCAATTCAATTGGTCCACCTTTTACTCTTGATTTACATGTATGCAAAACACAAACAACATCAAATTTACATGGGGTATGAATAAATTAGTTGTAAACTGTATATAAAGAAATGCATCGTCTCTTAATACCTAAACTAATCCCTATGTTAGTCATGTATTTAAAAATAACATTTGCTTTTCATTATAGGACTCTGCATCCTTCTAGATTTAGAATTTTGTTTGTTGATCATCTCACAGTGTTGTTCAGTTGATTGTTTCGACATTCAGGCTAAGATTTTAGTCAAAAATGAATCAATCTTCGAGGGCATCCTTGTAAAGTGAGTGTTTGTTTGAGCAGAAACTATTTTGCTTTAAAGTGCCTTGAGTTGAACGAATTTGTAGGTGCTATTCATGTTGAAGAAAATAGGAGAATAGATAAGCATTTCTTTGGGGGGAATATCTGTTGTTTCTTAGTCGGCCAGAGCACTTAAGTCTTGTGATTGTATGTGTATTAACATGAGCAGTATTTGACGTGGCCCTTAGGGTAACTAAGCAGGGACTTTTACATGGCAACTTGTTTCATGCATATATATTTTTTTTAAATATCGATCTTTGTTCGTGTGTTGTCAACATCTGTCAAGGTCAGTCGTACGGGAATGCTGGATAATGGTTAAGGATAAAGTCGAGTTCTGGTCATGTGATTGCATTGTGAAAGAAAAGGTGTGGAATGGATCAGAAAAAGTTGATCATGTAGCATGTAAGTATTGGTGTGTACTGCAAGGTTCTGGAGTCATCAAAATCATAATAAATTTGACCCAGTCTTGGTAAAGTAACAAGCACTGTACACAGAAAGATGTATGGGACTACACAAATGGTGTCGGGCCTACTTACCTTCATCTCCTTATCTTTCTATGCTCATCACTCAGCCAGTATACATTTTCTACCCAAATTGTTTGGCAAATTACATTTATTTGTAACCATGAACATTCAGTGTAAGTTCTGTTTGATTCTGTGAGAATTCATCTTCTTTTTTTTACCAGAACTCAAGTTTATCTTTAATCTGATTTAGATTCTTTTTATTTAATGATAGTAGATTTATCCTGAGTTTCTCAGTATCGTTTTTTTTTTATATTTTAGAAGCTTCATTCATCTGTTTTTCTTACTATAAGATCATGGGGGTGTTTCACAAAGATCCTAAGTCAAACTAACTGTAGGTTGGACTTAACAATTATGGAGAGCCATTTGGAGCCTTAAAATAAAATATATTCAAAAGTGAAAAATTCAAGTATGTTAGACTTTTTATGAATTCCAGATCAAGTTCATGAAATCTCCTTGATTCTAGAATATATGAATCAACATTTTATGCCTTTTAAAGGAACTTTTACAAAATATTTTCATAGATGCTAATGGCTTTCCATAATTGTTAAATCCAACTTAGAGATAAGTTCAACTTAGAATCTTTGTGAAACACCACCATGTGGGTGTGTCTTGAAATTGTTATATTTTAATATGAGACCAAGGCCCCGTCTCATAAAAAGTCGGAATTTATTCAAATCCATCGCAACTTGAAATTAATCGCAACTCGTTTCTCCTAAGTACTACACAGCTGCGATTAATTTCAAGTTTCTGTTAATTTGAATCAATTGAAACTCTTTATAATAATACAGGGCCTACGTCGTATGATACATTCTAAAGGTTACTGGTATTTATATGCTTTTATAAGCTTTTTCTTTCATGTTTGGGTTTGTGGGTATTCTAGCAGTAGCGTTTGACGTGGCAGGCATGTGCCTAAATAACACCAGATCATGGAATAATGATAATAATAATTACATTTAAAGGGCGCTTTATACAGGTGTATCTAAGTGCAAAGGTGGTACTGTCTAACTCGGTATAATTATTCAATATGTTCAATAGCTTCAAAGCAACAAAATAAAATATAGAATGACAATTATCTAGAACGTCTGCATGAAGAAAACAAATCATATCACCTTTTGAGGATGTTTTTACACAGAAAATCTCAGTGATCTAAGTACGGACTTTGCAGTCACCAGATTTATGCAACATAGACCTCATTATTTACTGTACCTCACTAAGCAAAGGCCGATATACAGAAAATTACTTTCACATATCATTTCAAAAAGCTATAATTTATTTGTGGAAACCTTTATTTGGTCAGTTAAATACTTGGATGTTTGTAAACAAGGATATAAAGTAATGAATTTAGTGTGGGTGTCTCGTTATATCATGAGGAAAATGACAGTTGACTGTCTCTAACTAATCAATGATTTAGGAATTGATGATTATCGTGCTAATGCAATGTTGTACTGTTGATGGTAAATGTGTACAGCTACGTCGTGTACATTTATACATTTGTATAATGCTTTCATTTTGAGATTGTATAAATTCTAATAAAAAGTTCAACTTTTATTTAGATCATACTGTTCATTGCCTATATTAAATGGGAGTGCATTGAAGAGTTATTTGAGAGGAGAACAAGACTGGGATGTTTCAGTTCCGTTCATATGGATATAAAACTATGTGATTGATACATATGGTTGCAAGTGTGTGGGTGTGTGTGTGTGTGTGTGTGAGAGAGAGAGAGAGAGAGAGAATAAGACACTGACGAAAAGTCCACCCCTCCCATTGCGGAAAAGGAGAAAAAAAACATGACTCCTCCCCATACCCTTACCATCGGGATGACCGGCGGGATTCCTGCGAGATGAAAAAATAACGTTTCCGGGAAATTATTTTTACTCCCAATTCCACTAACAGGTCATGAATTCTGGATCATTCACTTCCCGGAATCATGTTCCTGCATGGGCAAATTACTATCGGGAATAAACAGACAAATCAAGCGGGTTGGAGGTTTGGTTTCATAGCATTCAAGAATATTATTTAGGGTTTACTGTTGGTTGTCTTTGTCGGCAGAGATAATTTAGGCATTCCCTTTAAAAAAAATCTGTGATTTGGACCTAATGATGATATTGTGTTTAATCTGCTAATGGAAATGAATACTATGATGACGATATCTACGTTGATGTGTCCTTCTAATCCTGTTATCCGCACCACGTCCAACCCGAACCGTTCACCTCATCCCTCACCATCACATCATATAACAGTTCATTACACATATTCAAAAAACAGTTTTCATCCTAAAACTTACTTGCCTTGCGAAGAGACCTTTTCACTTACTCACCCACTCACACATTCACTCACTCATTCAACTACCCACTCATTCACTCGTTCACTCACTCACTCATTCACCTACACACTCATTCGCTCACTCACCCACCCACTCATTCACCCACTCACTGCACCCAATCACTGACTCATTCACCCACCCACTCACTCACCCACTCACTCATCCACTCACTCACTTACCAACTCACTCACTCATCCACTCACCCACTCACTCACCCACTCACTCACTCACTCACTCATTCAACTACCCACTCACTCACCCACTCACTGCACCCAATCACTCACTCATTCACCCACCCACTCACTCACCCACTCACCCATCCACTCACCCACTCACTCACCCACTCGCTCATCCACTCACTCACTCACTCACTCATCCACTCACCCACTCACTCATCCACTCACTCACTCATCCACTCACCCACTCACTCATCCACTCACTCACTCACTCACTCATCCACTCACCCACTCATTCATCCACTCACCCACCCACTCACTCAATCAATCAGTTAAATAATCACTGAACTAATTTAATAACAAAGCAAGCAACCAACCAAGCAACCATAATCAGTGACTATAACAATCAATAACAACCAACCAAACAAGCAAACAATCAACCAATTAACTAATCAATCAACATTCAAACCAATAAACCAATCAACCAACCAATAATAACTCAATCAATTGTTAAATCAATTAATTAACTATTTAACTTATCTGTAAACAATTGGGTCGATCAGGAAAGCATTCATCCAACCAAAGTCTCAACAAACAACAATCAATCAATCAATCAATCAATCAATCATTCAATCAATCAATAAGTAAACAACTCAATGAATAATCAAATTGTAAATAACAAATCAACAAATTCACTCATAAATCAATCGGTTCATCGGCATCATGCGTGATGTCAAACTTACTTAGCATTCATGCGAGCATTCATTTATCAAATTATCCATTATCCAGCATTTTCATTACGTCATAGCAGGGAGGTGTTTTCCCTGGTCATAGTCATGAAAGGTTACTCTTCCTATGTCGTTTCCGAATGTGTTATTTTTCACAAGTGACTCAGATAACATCACAATGACAAAAGAGAGGCAAATATATGGAAGGGTGGTAGATTTTACAACATTTTACTCAATAAGAAACAAATTTACACGTTTTATCGAATACCGTTATCACAATAATTTAATAAGCATATGAATAATCTTTTTTTCGTGCAGCTAATGCAACGACGTTTAATAGATTAAGAAAAAAAGAAATATAAAACAGAGACAAAAACAGGTTGTTTGAATTAATCGAATTCTACCCTGTGACGTCATAATGTTTTGTCATGATAACAAATGACAGCATTTTATTCTCCTTATGACAGATCTATCAACAATGAGGACTAGAAAATACTTCTTCATCATGCATTTTGAGAATGCACTGTTTATCTTAATTCTTGTTGAGTTTGCGATATAAACGCGATCAGATTGTGTGGAGGTGTAATCAGGGTAAATTTCGCGGGAAATTTCGGGCGTTTGGAGATATTCTTCTTGAGAATGGAATCACTGTTCATGGGAATTCAGTCAATATCATTGATTGTTCACCACTGGTACCACTTTGCACGGGGAGGAGTCTCTGGTTCTGGCTCGGGCTCGGCTTCGTGCTCGCTCTCGCCTTCAGGCTCGCCGTCCAGGTTGAATGCGTCAAAGTCGATGCTAAAAGATAAACACAAGTAAAGGATTCGAAAGAATAAGAAAATAAATACATTTAATGTATTTATTTTTATGGTAGGTGATAATTTATCACCTACCATACAAACTAAATAAAATATGGATTTCACTTTACCTACTTTGTTCACGATCATGATTATACACCAGTGGCGGAACCAGGGGGGGGGGGGCCCGGGGGGCCCGGGCCCCCCCCCCCCACCTTGAGAAAAAAATCATGTAAAATCACGTGATTTTTACCTTTTTGGGGGGTTGGGCCCCCCTGGCGCTCAAGGGGGGGGGGTGCAAATTGAAATTTTTTTGAGGATCAAAAAAAAAAAAAGTGCTCACTACCCCCCCCCCCCAATGAGCGAATTTTTGGCCGGCGCGTTTTTTCAAATTTTCGGGAGCAAAAAAAAAAAAAAAAAAAAAATTGTGCTCTGTACCCCCCCCCCCCCCCCCCCCCCCCCCCCCCCCCCCCCCACTGAGCGACTTTTCGGCCGGCGCGATTTTCAAATTTTCGGGAGCCCAAAAAAAAAAGTTGGGCCCCCTCCCCTAAGAAATCCTGGATCCGCGCCTGTTATACACATACATTTTGTAAAGATATTTTGTATTGTTCAAATCTATCCACAGTCGGCTTCAGGAAAATCCTTTTCCATCATTATATTAGGCGTAATTTGCTATCTTGAAATCCATGTACTTATGGGGTTGAACTTCGATATAAATTATAGAATAACGCAATAATTTGAACAGTTAGATAGCATATACAGGGAGAAGAATATGTGATTATAGCACCGGAACAGAGAGACAACATGAAGAACTGGGTGCCGTTTTAATATATATACAATTTTGCCACGTAAGGGACTGGGGGGGGGGGGGTGGGTGGTGTAGTAACTTCGAAATCCTTCTCTTCTTTAATTAAGCATTGTTTCGTTTTACTTTGTTTCGTTTTTTTTTTCCTTTCTTTTTTTCTTTCTTTTCTTTTCTTTTTTTGTTTGTTGCTTCTTCTTACTTCTGGAAAGAATGTCAAGCGATAGAAACCATAAATCATTATGACACATTTCATTGGAAACTGTGAAAAGAATTTTGGACCAAAAATTATCTCATATAGTACTATGGCTCTACGAACCAGATGGGATGGGGGAACGTACCCCTTTTCCCGGTTGCGTTATTTTTTTCAGCGGCACAGATTGGGGTTAGGTGCGTGTTGAGCCTATGGGAAAGTTTAGGGTTAGGGTTAAATCAAGACCTCTTTTAAAAAAAAGCCCCAATCTGTGCCGCAGAAAAAAATGCCGCTTCCCGGTTACCCGTGGATTGTCATATAAGATGACTGGTTATAATTATATCGAGTTCTACTTCGTTCTATAGATTGTACCTGTCAATAGCATCCTGGATGCGTTTTTCAATTTTTTCGGATAGCTCCCTCATCTGGGCATCGAGCTCTTCAATGGTGGGATACTCGTCTTCGCCTGGGATGGTTGGGAGCTCGAGTTCGGCGAAAAAATCGTTGACCTTGACGTGGGTATCCTTCACGTTGTCGATGACAACCTGGGCCTTTTCTTTGATGGTGATGATGGGATCCGTTTCGAAAAGGCCGCTGATATATTCCCAGAGGCCGGCTTCTTCCTCCGTTGGAGGCGTCTTATGAAGTAAATTGATAGTACAGAGTTATGAATAGCTAGTTTTTGGACCCCATGGAAGAACACAGTGGCGGATCCAGGGGGGGGGGACCCGGGGGCCCGGGCCGCCCCCCCCCCCCCCTTGAGAAAAAAATCATGTAAAATCACGTAATTTTTACCTTTTTTGGGGGTTGGGCCCCCCCCCCCTGGTGCTCAAGGGGGGGGGTGCAAATTGAAAATTTTTTGAGGATCAAAAAAAAAAAAATGTGCTCACCCCCCCCCCCCCCCCCCCCCCCCCCCCCCCCCCCCCCCCACTGAGCGAATTTTTGGCCGGCGCGTTTTTCAAATTTTCGGAAGCAAAAAAAAAAAAAAAAAAAAAAAAAAAAAAAAAATTGTGCTCTGTACCACCCCCCCCCCCCCCCCCCACTGAGCGACTTTTCGGCCGGCGCGATTTGAAAATTTTCGGGAGCAAAAAAAAAATATATATATATTTTTTTAAACTTGTATGTATATATGGATTTCGGAAATAAAAACAAACAAACAAACAAACAAGTTGGTTGAAACAGCGGAATAGCAGCGGCACATGTCATGAACGGTTCTAGGACACCTACCCCCTGGACGTACATCCACCCCCGGATAACCACCCCAGTCAGCTACCCTCTACGACAGCTACCCCCTAGGGCAACCACCCTGTAGGACGACTACCCCCGGACAACTATCCCCCTGCCAACTACCCCCTACGACAACCATGCTCGAGGACGCCTACCCCCGGACAACTATCCTACGGGTAGTTGTCCTGGGGAATTGTCCGGGTTTTAGTTGTCCGGGGGTAGTTGTCCGGGGTAAAGTCGCCCTAGAGGGTGGTTTTCCGGGGACAGGATGTCCAGGGGTAGGTGTCCGGATACGGCTATGAACTTATGAATTCTTACCAAGAATTTCTCAAAGTCTGATACAAAATTTATTCTCGCATCGACATGATCGAGGAAAGTTCAAAGCCCCTCTGCACTAGTTTGGCATGGAGGGATTAGACCTCCCTGCAAGGTCACTATATATAATTATTATTATTGTTGTTATAATCATTTTTTTAAGGATTTGACTACAGCTCTCAACTAACATAAGTGCAGTGGGGCTAGTACCGGGGCACAGATGCTGTCTTCGTATACAACCGTGGGATTCATCAAATATGAACAAAATAGAAATGATTGGAAAAGACTTGTAACTATACTATGTAGAAAATAATGACGGTAGTTTAGCTAAAAGGAGAACTGAAGAAATACTTTAGCTAAAAAGAATAGTACTGTGGTGGTTTCGTTCTAGGGCCGCAAGGCGATAAATATTTAGTTGGAAAAAAAAGTATCTCACGTGTCAAATAAGTATTTTTTAACACATATGGTTATCAAACAATACATAATTATGAAATTATTGTCCAGTTCAAGAATATTAGAACGGACCAACTATTGCCCTTCACATTTAGGAACACTGCTGGATAAAATAGCTTCTTCGGCGAGTCTTGCACCCAGGCGCGGATCCAGGGGGGGGGGCCGAGCGGGCCTTGGCCCCCCCCCCCCCGCAAAAAAAAAAAAAAAAAGAGAGAGAAGAAGGAAAAGAAGGGAGAAAGGGAAAAGGGAAAGAAAGAAGAGGAAGAAGAAAAGTAAAGGGGAAGAAGGAAATCGGGGGGGCCGAAAGGGCCTTGCCTCCCAGGCTGTTAACCTCCCCCCCCCCCCCCCCCAATCTAAAAAAAAATAAGAGAGAAGGAAGGAAAGGGAAAGAAAAAAAAGGAAAAGAGGAGATACTGGCGTACTGATAGAGGGGGGAGGGGGCTTGGGGGAAATCAAATTCAAACGTGGTTTATTTCTGATTCCACAACAGTGTATTACAAATAATGCTGAAATGACATAATTTCCGAAATTTTTCCTCACTTTTTAGTAAATTATACGTTTGTATGTGTTTGTTGGAAAATTAAAAAAATTCCTAAATTTACAACCAGGCAAAAAATATGATTCTTGAAATTCCTACATGTCAGGGCCCGAGGTACGGCGGGGATCAAGAGCCTCGAGGCATCAAAATATGCTCATCTGACCGTGATTAAATGCCTAAAACCCCTAAGCTTCCGGGGGCTTTGCCCCCTGGATTCCATCTAGGGCCCTACGGCGGTCTCTTAGATGATCATCTGACGGTAATTTAATGCCTAAAACCCCTGATTTTTTGGGGCTCCGCCCCCTGGACCCCACGCCAAATAGTGACTTGCCAGTGTCACAAAATAATAAGGTATACACAAAAATATGCTCATCTGACCTTAATTAAACGCCTAAAACCGCTGGGCTTCCGGGGGCCGGCTCCGCCGCCTCGACCCCACCTCTTTGAAATTCAGACAAGGATTAAGAGTATAGAGAACGGTACAACGCATCGTTTTCTTTCTCGCGCAGGAGGGGAGGAGGGGGGGGGGGGGCTGAATTGAGACGAGGATTCAGATTCAGAGGCGAGAACGGTAATACGAATCTTTAATTATTTAATAAAACGTAAAAGCTCATGCGCTTCGCGCGGGATGGAGGGGGAACTAAATTCCGATGAGGATTATTTTCGAGAACGGTACAATGAATCGTCTTCTTCTCTAATGATTAAATGAAGATTAAAAGCTTCCGCGCTTTGCGCGGGAGGGGGGAACCTGAATTCAGACGAGGATTAAGAGTCGAGAACTGTAAAACGAATCGTCTTCTTTCTCTAATGATTTAATGAAACATAGAAGCTTCCGCGCTTCGCGCAGGAGGGGGAGGGGGGGGGGACTGATTTTAGACAAGGATTAAGAGTCGAGAACTTTACAACGAATCGTTTTCTTCCTCTAATAATTTAATGAAATGTAAAAGCTTCCGCGCTTCGCGCGGGAGGGGGGGGGGCATAATTCAGACGAGGATTAAGAGTCGAGAACTGTAAAACGAATCGTCTTCTTTCTTTAATAGTTTAATAAAACGTCAAAGCTTCCGCGCTTCGCGCAGGAGGGGAGGGGGGCTGAATTTAGACAAGGATTAAGAGTCGAGAACTGTACAACGAATCGTCTTCTTTCTCTAATAATTTAATAAGTCGTAAAATTTTCCGCGCTTCGCGCGGGAGGGGAAAAACTAAATTCAGACGAGAATTATTTTCGAGAACGGTACAGCGAATCGTCTTCTTTCTTTAATAGTTTAATAAAACGTCAAAGCATCCGCGCTTCGCACAGGAGGGGGAGGGGGGGCTGAATTTAGACAAGGATTAAGAGTCGAGAACAGTACAACGAATTGTCTTCTTTCTCTAATAATTTAATAAATCGTAAAATTTTCCGCGCTTCGCGCGGGAGGGAAAAGCTAAATTCAAACGAGAATTATTTTCAAGAACGGTACAACGAATCGTCTTCTTCCTTTAATAGTTTAATAAAACGTCAAAGCTTCCGCGCTTCGCGCAGGAGGGGGAGGGGGGCTGAATTTAGACAAGGATTAAGAGTCGAGAACTGTACAACGATTCGTCTTCTTTCTCTTATAATTTAATAAGTCGTAAAATTTTCCGCGCTTCGCGCGGGAGGAGAAAAAACTAAATTCAGACGAAAATTATTTTCGAGAACGGTACAACGAATCGTCTTCTTTCTCTAATAATATAATGAAACGTCAAAGCCTGGGAGGGGGGACCTCGCCCCCCCCCGCATTACGTCACTGTTGGTCACCATAACGTACCAATATTTGGCTCGCATAATTTCAAATTTGGGCCCCCCCCCCCTAAGAAATCCTGGATCCGCGCCTGCTTGCACCACTCCCCCCTTCGCACGGCTCTGCCTGCGCTTATTTAAAATCAAGAATGCTGACAAAATGTCATTAAAGATGAACACCTAATTAACCGATGCATATAATAGGGTCGAACATTCAATGCGTTGCCTTTTGCAATGAGTCTCAGATGTCCCAAAATAATATACACTGCACATCCATGGATTTACTATACATGTACTATTACAAACGAAGAACAAAAAAGATGGCAGGGTATGTTCATTACCCCCCCCCCCCCCGCCCCCACCACCCCCACCCAGTGTTATAATTTAAGGTATACGCGTATGCATGTTCCCTCTCTTTGAGAGCACCCCTCTATCTCCGGTGTGTAATACACGCCGGATTTTTGTGTATTACGGGCTGGACTTTGTTGAGTGAAATGTAGCCCTTTACCGGAGATTTTGGGAACACGTATGCGGTCCCTCCGACCCCAGAGTGGGGGAAGGGGGGGGGGGTTCATTACAACAATACCGATCTGTTTTGGAAGCAATTATCTTGTCTGCTAAAAGTAATTCTCTCACTTCAGTCTTATAGTTGATTTGAATTACACATACAACTAAGCTAGTTTTGTAAGTCTTTTTTTCTCGATATCATAATAAATCATGAACTGAGAAACAGAGGTTTTTACTAATAATATTGATAATAGAAAAATGTACACAAATCCAGTTCTAGACTGCCAGAATAAAAGCGTAACGCATAACGCCTCGAAACATGATATAATTATTCCACGTGAATTATATAATTATCATAACTAGTTTTTTGATTTAGGAAATATTGATAAAACAAAATAATAATGATTACAGCATCATTCTAGACATGGTAGGTTCATATTATAAGTTGAATGGACTAGGTTTTTTAGAGTGATATATATCCTATTTGCATGTGCCACACTGGTTTAAGCTTAAATAAAGAGCGCACCGACTTGAACTGTCAAAAACGGAACATTTTAGATTTTCATTCGTTCGTTCGTGTCTCCTTAGATCAAGAGTAATGTACGGTTCCATAGTTAAATTGAGTCCTTCCTTCAATTTTCATTGATAGTATATACTGAAACGTATATCAGAACAGAATCAATAAAGAAGTTTGCAATGTGTCATTTAAATTGATCAACATCGTCCCCGGTTGTACTTGCCTAAACGAGTATCTTCTATAGTGTCGACAAATAACTACAGGCTCCTATAAAGTATATAGAATAATACCTATTTTATTAAAGAAGGTTTGCTGTGAAGTGCCTTGTAACATTTAACGCTGTACATGTCGGAATATTTTCTAATGGGTTTAAAAGCTTCTTTTACTACATGGCTATCTGGTTGTGAATAAATGACACAATTAAAAAAACACGAGTAGGGACGAATAGAAAATTAGAACGAATTAATGTAAGGAGATCAAAATTACCTGAGCTACGACGAAAGGCACAAGGGCCAAGCAAACGAGGATCATAGAAACCTTCATGATGGCTGGTAGAGTTAAATTGAGTGTTCTCGAGAAAAGAAAAAGAAAGATTGACGGTCCGCTGTCGTCTGCTAACTCTTAGAGTGCACAGATAACAAATGAGATTACGTATCATCCATTCTGATTGGTTGAATGTGTCGTTATCAGTACGGAGCGCGTTTCTGATTGGATAGCCCTCTATGTCAACGAACTAACTGATCTTTGTTATCGTGCGTTTGTACTCGAGCGTAAGATCAGCTGAAGGGGAGGACCAAAGGTCAAGTCTTTAAATGTGTTTTGACTTTGACAATTCTTAAGATTATAACTGTCATGTAAAGAACTTTCGCTCCCATGCAGAGTATTCAATAGGTAAGTGAACAAAAAAAGGGGTAATGAAGAAAAAGCGATGAAAGGGCGGTGAAAGGGATTTTAACTTCATATAAGCGGCTTTTAAACTTCAAAACCAGAATGGTGAGCTTACAGGTAGAGACTGAAATCGAATTTGTGTGCCGGTCGACCCATTCTATGCTAAATAGATGAGCATTGTATGCAAATCTAGGTTGGAGTTGGGCGATGTTATTGTGCAATGCTCGAGTTTACCTCTGGATAAGGTCACCTTCACATTACAGTGTATCTGATTACGAACGAAACCCAACGCTAGTAAATTTGTCAATGAAGTTAAAACAATCATTTCCATTGTCACAATTCCAGGTACATTGTTGAAATGATTTCTCCTAAAAGTGTGAGACAGAAAAAAAGAAGAAAGAAAATGGTCTCTAATTAAACGAATTTCTAAATGATGAGTTTTACAATCTCACTTTGCTCTATAGCTGTGCCTTTTCATTATTTAGGTTATATTTTTCCACTTGATTTCAAGATAGAGCGGTATGATGAATTTCAGAATGAAAACGGGAATTATCAAACATAGGCCGACACGAATTTATTTATGACTCTTATGTATAGGCTCATCATAATTGTGATGTAAGAGTATTTATTCAGAATTCTAAAATTTAGAATATTAAATTTATTCAAAGTTGTCTGTGCTTTTCCGACCCACTTCTTCGCAATCCCTACCACCCCCCCCCCCCCACCGAGTCAGGGCAAATGAACTGTGTTTTTCGTGCTGATATAGACCCCCCCCCCCCCATCCCCAACGCCATAAACAACACTTGCACGACTGGTCCAACTTTATGAATGTTTGCTCTATATTCGTGCTCGTATTGCCAAATGGACTCAGTTAAACCAGGGAATAACTTCCTGGTTAAACCTCCCATACCCATCACCCCGACAATAATGTGTTTCTACAGTGATTAACGGTTCATGAATTCGTGGTTAAAAGAGATTCATGACAGTTGGAGAATACATGTTTGTCTTATTGCTCCTTGTTTACATAGAAAAACAAATAGTCGTATCCAGTGCGTCAAGGGCACAACAAAGTCATAATTTGTCCTACCGTCTACGCAAATAGTATACATATGATTTAAGAGAAATACGATCTAAAAATGCTTTTCGGAAGGGGTTAACGAAACATCTAAATACTTTGAGTTAAACAAAAGTTAAGAAAGAAATCTCAGATTAGAGAATTTCTAACAAGATCACTAGATGATGATATATTTTTTATTTACTGTATGTTTGGTTCTGATACGGAAGTTGACACACATTTGACTTACATATATATATTAAGTAAGGAATATTTCAACTATTCTATTTCTTTGTTTACTTTCATTATATAGTATGTAATATAGTACAGTAAAACATAATTTTTAAATTCTTGCCAGAGACAGGGAACCAGACTCGACTAGCACTTGTGCTAACTTCTGGTATACCCCCTTTTACAACAAAAGTGTACACATAATCTTTTATTCCATTTGTATACAACATACTTTGTAAAACAATGTTTATATTATTCATGTGTAATGTTATCGATATTGTGTTATATTGTTCTATTTTATGTAATCATGCTTGAAACATTATGTTTTACTTATTATTTTTGTTGTTAATAAACTCAAACTCAACTCAACTCAACTCAACTCACAATAGACATACGAAGTGAATGTAGGTCACTAATTATGATAAAAGTTAATAGAACAAAACTTACTTCTTGTACATAAACGCCTCTCGTACCCCCCCCCCGTACAATAAATCAATGTCATCAATATAGTAGTGAATATGATTAATAAATATTAATTGTAAAACTTGGATCAGCATTGTCACCATATAGGCGTGACCTTCAAAGGCATCGATAATTTCAGGATTGATGGGCGCAATTTATTTATTATATCATATTATTATTATATCATATTGACCAACCTTGACCTAAGCCTTCCGCACCATCTGGGAGATGTGTGATGGCTTCTGCTTCATGACCTCAAGCCAGATCTTCCTATCTGTTGACGTTCTGGTCGCTTCTGTGAGGGATCCTAGACATCGATCATAATTTATATTTTATAATTATTATAATATATTGTTATTATGTTATATCATTTTTTAAGGATATGACTACAGATCTATCGTCATCTATCGTGATTTTCTTTACTGGCCAGGTGTGTAAGATATTGAATAAGTGTGATATATTCATTTTGTTTAATGTTTAAATGACAAGAGTTAACATTCTGATATCTCTGTCATATGGAATGAGCAAACGAAAATATACTCAAAGATTATGGTTCGGAAAGTGGAGATAAAAGACTATATCAGAAATTATTCAAACATATTTGTGGCTTATAAAAAATATATCAGAAATGTTATCAAAGAAGGCTATAGGATTTCATAGAATTTTGTTGAAGTATGGGCGACTGACAGATACTATACTCTGATTGTAAAACATGTCGTTGAGATGTATTAGCAATCAAATATTTGAAAGTTAGAATACTTTTTCATTTTCAGAGTAAAGTATAATCAAAATAAAAATGTACACAACCGTCATGCGCAATCCAATCGACGTCATTTAATCTTACTTTGAGTTCAAGGCGCATAATTAACGATGTTGTCATTTCGAAGAAACAAGCAAATCAGATGGGATGTTTTGTGTTGGCCTATTGCCAAAACTAGTATTGAACTAGCCCAGATAATATCATCTTTGGCTTGAACCCATGACATGTGATTAGCAAACGGGTTGGGTTCTAGGACAATTACCCCCTGGACAATCACCCCCGGTCAATTAGCAGCGGGACAATTACCCCCCCCCCCACCCACCCAGGATAACTCCGGAAAATTATCCCTCCCTCCCCCAGGACAACCAACCCCGTGGACATTATTATTCCCCCTCCGAGATTCATATGCTAATTCTATAATTATTTATATTGAATCCAACTGTTTATATTCACATTTAATTGTAATATATATATATCATTTGAGTATCATGGCCCCCTCTTCTTGTTACTTTGCCAATATTTCACAACTCATTTTTATCTTAGCTCGGTTGACCGTCTGCTCAAGCTTTTGCTTATAACGGCGACCTTCTGCATTTTTTCTTTATACACGCAATGGCCCAACGTATAAATTTACTCTTACTCATGTATTATAAATTTGTTTCTATATTTTGTATATTGTTTGCATACCTTATGTCTTATATAATTATCCATATTTGTTGTATAACTGATTTGTTTGATTGCAGAAAATAAAGTCTTTGAAATGAAATGAAAAAAAAAAATGCTTTTATTAAAATTAACTTGTTATCAGAGTGGACTTCCTTCAGGGGGAGGGGGTAACTTTCGGGGGAGGGGGGGGGGGGGCTAATTTTCCGGGTCATTTGGGACGGTTTTGCGGGGGGGGGGGGGTGTAGTTTGCCGGGGAGTGATCACTCAAGGGGCAATTGTTCTGTTACGAGCGCATTGACATTTCATGTCAGGTTACTATCTCAAAAGTCTATGTTAAAGATGGCATCGAGCCAAAACATCTTTAAAGTGTCAATAATATATTGGCCAAGGCTCAAAAATATCTGAATATGTCCTAACGTGGGCTTCGAATCATGGGGGGGGGGGGGGGGGGGGGGGTAGTCAACACAGTCACCTTCAAGAATTTGAAAATGAACTGTATAGGCCTACAAAGGAGCAGTAAGATCAAATTACTGCGCTTGCCCCCCCCCCCTTTTTTTTCACTCCTGAACATGGATAGGCGCCCTTGAGTCCATGTGAAAGTTTGGCAAAACCTTCTGATCAAGTCTGTCTGTTTCCAGGATGATGAAAATAATGTAAATAAACAGCTTGATAATCAGGTTAACCATACTATTACTGCTAATATATATATTTTAAATGATCATCCCTGAAAGGTATTCAGGTAAGGAAACACACTCCACATTGATCATAACCACAACTACCTCAATATTTCCTGCCATTCATTCTCTAGATCATTATCATAACGTTGGTCAAGGTGGGGGTACTGCAAACTTTTCCTCGATAAAGTTCATACAATGTCGACCATTTAGTACAGCGGATAAGCTCCCAATATAATGAAAATTGTGCACTTTTTGATAAAAGCATGAAACTTCTAGCATAGTTAGTTTAGACCATAAGATTTATTTTCAGATGTGGAGGGAAGTCAGATTTGACCTCTGATGACCCTGAGAGGTCAAATCCAAAATGGCCGCCAGTCCGTATGGTCTAATGTACAAACATGCTTAACTTTTGAACCAAATAGTCCAGAAAAACGTTTAAGGTGTCATTTCCAACTAACTTGGGGATGCCAATTCATTTGGTAATACTGTTGAGATCGCCTCAACTCAGGGTTTTGCATTTAGGTCAAGGTCAAGGTCAAAATTGACTTAAAATAGCAAGTTTTGAATGGTTACAAATGAGATTTGTCATTTGTTCTCAAATTTCTTTAGGAATGGTTCCCCTTGCATAGTCCTCCACCTTAATCCTTTTCAGGTAGTTTATTTCACTTTTTTTTTTACCTCTGATGACCCTGAAAGGTCAAATCCAAAATGGCCGCCAGTCCATGTACAAACGCGGTAACTTTTGAACCAAATAGTCCAAAAAAACGTTTAAGGTGTCATTTCCAACTAAATTGGGGATGCCAATTCATTTGGTAATACTTTTGAGATCGCAAGAACTCAGAGCTTAGCATTTAGGTCAAGGTCAAGGTCAAAAATGAC